TAGCATCCATCCTCAACTAATGTTTCACGGTCTAAACGAAGGGAGGCAAGGGCAACTAACCCCCCATACTGCCCCGCCACGCCCAACACCTGCAGATTGAGTCTACGCGAACTGAAATCCCACACCCCGGTGTGTCCGTCCGTGCTCTTGAAGTACACGCTGCCCGTCTTGTCGCGTGGCGCGATGTACCAGCTGCCGCACCGCTCGTTGGCAACTAACGGGAGGGCGTAGTGGTCGCGCACCTCGGCCACGAACTGCGCGTCCGTGGCGATGCTGGTCAGCCGGTTGGTCAAGGTCAGGGCGGAGCGGCGCAGCGCGGTCAGCGTCTGGCTGATGGATTGCTGTTCGGAGGAGGGAAAGTGGAGGGCGGCGAGGGAGGAGGGGAAGGAGGGGTCCATTTTGTGGTTCCCTCTTCTGTCTGGGGGTGGCTGTAGAATGGAGATGAGAAGAATGGAGGGGTTGAGCTCCGCGGTTTGCGTCGGGGTTATTTTTCTCGGTGCCTCAGGTTTCCAGGTGTTAGGCTCAGTCACGTGGGATAAGAGATAGGCCGTGGCAGAAAGCTTGGCTGTTAGTGAAGGCCATGATGTGGAACGTTTGCAACAGTGCAACGAATTTGGGACGGGTAGATCGGCATGCCGAGGATACGAAAGGCTTGTTTGATCGGGTGGACCGGATGATTGTAAGGGTCGTAAGGGTATTGTACTTGTAGTCTCATGCCCGGTTGTGAGCGATACTTGGACAAGCACTGCTTGCGTTGATCCGCACCGCATGTGCCTGGCCTTGTGATCCCCACTCGTGCCCTAACAGCTGGTGACATCACCCATCCTTCGCCATGGTCGACGACACAACGTCACCGTCTGCAGCGTAGTCAAGAAACAAATCAATGCTAAATCTCGGCCGATTACCTTGTGTGACAATGACCTCAACTGTCTTACTCTCCAGGAGACCCAACCGTAGGAACGGTATAAGAACAACCATCTAAGCCAGTGTAGCCAGTGTAACCTCCTATACCCCATACCACATACCACATCCAACACCATCAAAATGACCCCCAACCCAACCCCCTACACCTACGAAAACGCCATCTACAGCGCCGGCCTCGGCGACGAGCGCCCACGCTTCCCCCCGCACCCGCACGACTGGGAACCCACCGCGAAATCCCGCCTGTCGGCGGACAGCTTCGGCTACGTGCACGGCTCCGCCGGCACCGGCCAAACGGACGAGAACAACCGCGCCGCCTTCAGGAAATGGAACCTGGTGCCCTCGCGCCTGGTGCCGTCCGACTACCCGGACCTGAAGGTGAACCTCTTCGGCGAGGAATACCCCTACCCGATCGCCGTCGCCCCGGTCGGCGTGCAGAAGATCTTCCACCGCGACGGCGAGAGCGCCGTGGCGCGCGCCGCCGCCGAAGACCACGTGCCCTACATCCTCTCGACGGCGGCCTCGACCAGCATCGAAGACGCCGCCAAGGCCAACGGGCCCGACGGAAAGCGGTGGTTCCAGCTGTACTGGCCGCTGAACGAGAACAACGACATCACCGCCAGCCTGCTGCATCGCGCCCAGGACGCTGGGTTCAAAGTCCTAGTGGTGACTCTGGATACGTATATCCTGGGCTGGCGGCCGAGTGATCTAAGCAATGCGTATAACCCGTTCCTCCGGGCGGATAGTATCGGCGTGGAGTTGGGGTTCACGGATCCCGTGTACCGGCGGAAGTTCAGGGAGAAGCATGGCAAGGAGGTCGAGGAGGATCTGGGCACCGCGGCACGGGAGTGGGCGCATACGGTCTTCCCCGGGAAGAGTCACGGGTGGGAGGATTTGGAGTTCCTGAAGGAGCACTGGAAGGGGCCGATTGTGTTGAAGGGGATTCAAACCGTCAAGGACGCGGAGTTGGCCGTCCAGCATGGCATGGATGGCATTGTCGTCTCGAATCATGGCGGACGCCAGCAGGACGGCGGCGTCGCCTCGTTGGAGGTCCTCCCTGAGATCGTCGATGCGGTGGGCGACAAAGTTGAGGTGCTCTTTGATTCCGGGGTGCGCTGTGGGGCCGATATCGTCAAGGCGCTGGCGCTCGGGGCGAAGATGGTGCTCATCGGGAGGCCGTACGTTTATGGGTTGGCCATGGGGGGTCAGGCCGGGGTCAGCCATGTCTTGAAGTGTCTCTTGGGGGATTTGGATTTGACGCTGCATTTGTCGGGCGTGCCTTCAGTGCGGAAGGAGCATTTGAATCGGTCGATTCTGCGGGAGTCGAAGTAGGTGGACTTTTCATCTCGGTGAATTTATAATGATACTTCTTCTGTAATACTTAGACTACCCTTAGAATCTGTGTCAATATGCCAATAGATAATCATCGTATCACTGTGTTTGGCTGGGTTTGTTGCAAGAGGTCAAAACTTTTTCTATCCGCTAATAATATACATGCTCTCTCCGCGGAGACTATTTACAGGTGGGAAAGCCGCATTGTTCATTATTCCATCTCATCCGCCTCTCCATCACGAACTGGTTGCAGATGCCTTCTGAGCATTCTCCTCGGCCTTCGCAGCGAACTTGGCGCGGGCCAGTTCGATCCGGGACTTGGGACGCTCGCCCGTGCTGTTGACAGCGTCCAACCCCTTGGCCTTGGCAGCCCACTCGCCCCGCCGTCTCTTGTACAGATCCATCGACCAGTTCCTCCACACGGCCCGACCCACAAACGAGTCGCGCAGGGCCATCTCGTTCTGCGCAAGCTCCTGCGCCATCCGCTCCTTGACGAAGAAGACATCCTTTGTTGCCTGCCACAAGGCATCCACCACGCGCGATCCGCTGCTGTCCAGAGCCAGATCCTTGAGCTGTCCGGTGAAGCGGGTGACCAGCTGGCGGCGGAATTGAGTGGTCGAGGTGGGCAGCGTGAGCGCTTGCTGCAGGACATGCGAGGCAGTGGGGTCGGTGGCGATTTTGATCAGAGACTCCGTCGACTGCGCCAGCAAGCCAGAGTACACCAGCCCGCTCAACGCTCCTGGAGCAGTCAACATCGTCTGCGCGAACAGAGAGCTGTGCAATCGAGCCGCTGCGAGAGCCTTCTGGTTGTTGGGCGCGCTGGTTCCCTCCTCGCCGTATCTCGGCTGCTCCACATCATCCTGAGAGAAGCCCTCCAGCCACAGCATCTTATCCAGACGGCGAGCGGGGTCGCGGTCGTAAGCAGCTTCCAGAGCACGGGCAATGGGGGCGGTATCGACCCCACGGATCAGACAACGCTCGATCAAGGCCTTGGGAACGATCAGTCGGGACCGCTCAATGAGACCAGAGATCTGGGGAACAATCAAGTCGACCGCCTCTTTGAGATCATCCTTGCCAAGACGCTCGAGGATACGCAGGACGACATATCCAGCGGTGATGTTGCGTGCAAGGGAGCCCATCTGTTCGCGCATGAGGTTCTTGTACAGCGCCTTGAACAACTTTCCGGGCAGGCACTTGACGATGGTTTCCAGCAGTCGCGATCCGACCGGGTCGTACAGCAGCCCGCGGACGAAGATGGTGCTCTCGGAGCCTTCCGTGAACTCCTCGTCGGGGATCAATCGTCTCGTGATCGACTTGGGGTCCTTCGCGCTGGACTTCCCAAAATGCGACAGCTCCAAGTACACCAACACTTGCAGCACCGGGTTTCCAACAGGGTGGGTGGCCAGTGCGCGGAGATACGTATCATCCAACACAGACACCATATCCTTCATGACCTTCTTCAGGGTGGCCTCGAACGTCTCGGGGACGCTTCTCTTCTGCGCCACAGGGTTCTCCTTCGGGGTATCGGTGTTGGCAAGACCCAATCTCTCCTTCTTCCGACTAGCGACAACGGAGTCGCTCAACGACAGATCCACCGGTTCTCCCGCCAACACCAGCAGGAGGACTCTGATCGTGTGCGACGCAAACCTCTCGGTCAGCAGATATCCCCAGTTTCCTTGCAGTTCCTCCACCACCGTCATGAACATCTCAGCCAGCGACAGCTCGGGTTCCGGCTCCGCGTCCTCCTCTCCGTCCACCTCCATCTTCTCCGTCTTGGGCTTCGATGGCTTCTGCGTGACGCCGGGCGCGGCATTAATGAACAGGGTCTCGCAGCAGTGACTGGCGAACCGGTGCTGGACGAGGTGCAGGAAATGGCCGATAAACTTGTTGAACAGGCGTCGAATCTGGCGCATGTCGGACAACGATATGAGCTTCTCCATTAGCCGCGAGCACGACTGACTGCACGCAATCTTCAATTCCTTGCCCCGAGCCTCCGTGTACACACTCTCAATGAATACCCGCCGCTCCTCCTCGTCGCCGAACTGGTTCAGTTCCAGCACCTCGCTGGCGCGGGAAAAGTATTCCTGTTCCTCGGGGTCCAGAAGACCGAAGAACACCGTCTCGCCGGAATTACCATTCTCCTGGTCGAAGCCCTCCTGCTCGGCTTGTTGGTCGTATGCTGGCTCCGCATCCAATGCGATGTAGTCGGCGCCCTGGGTGAAATCGTCGTTGGCGGGCTCGTCGTCGGTCGACGGCTTCATGCGCTTGGGCAGGGTCTCTTCGGGGACCTCATCGCGTTTGCGCTTGGCGGCGTCCTTGCTGGCCTTGTCGGCGGCCCGACGACCTCTCTTCTGATTCTCACGCGGCATTTTTGATTGACCTTGGTTGAATGGAGAGGCTTGCGATCGACAGTCGGCGGCAGTTTTTTTTCGGCGGAAACCCAGCGGTGGTCCAAGCGTCTCCGCGGGTTGTTTGCCGCGTTTGCAGGGCGAGGCCAGGCGGTGAGGCGCAAATTCTTGAAATGTTTGCTGCGTATCACGTGCACTCCGTCATTTCGACGATACTGCTTCCTTTCTGCAGGCGAAATATTCAACAGATGGTTGCCATCTTTACTCAGCAATCATCAGCACTTCAATTGACCCTGTTTCTTTGGTCCTTATCCTTATCGAGTCACCTGTCTGCTTTCAAACAACATATCTCTAAGAAAAGCCTTCAGAACACCAAAATCCCGGTCGTCGAACCCGACCATGCTGAACAGAGCTCTTCTCCGAACGCCCTGGTTGCGACCAGCGATCTTCAGCGCACCACACTCCTCGATCAGCGCAACAGCAGCCTCAGCACCGCGCTTCCCAATCCTCTACGCCACCACCAGACCTCTCACCTCCGCCCCCTCCCGTCAATCCGAACACCCACCAACGACACCCTCAACGCCACCGTCCGAGACAGCTGAACTCCCATCGCAAGACCCCGAACCTGCCACGACGACCACCACCACCACAACCACCGCCCCCGAACCCCCATCCCACATTCCCTGGTACCTCCAAGACGAGCCCTCCGTGCCGGCCACGCGCCCCATCACTTCAGGCGAGCAGATCCCCGCCCTCCCAGAAAACCCGCCGGCCCTCCTCGCGGCGCTGCTGGAGTACACCTTCAAAGACCTGGGGTTGGACGGGCTGAAACTCCTCGACCTGCGGGGATTGGACACGCCGCCCGCGCTGGGCGCCAACGTGATCATGATCGTGGGCACCGCGCGCAGCGTCAAGCACCTGAACGTCTCGGCGGACCGGCTGTGCCGCTGGCTGCGCAGCACGTACAAGCTGGCGCCGTTCGCGGACGGCCTGCTGGGCCGCAACGAGCTGAAGATCAAGCTGCGGCGGAAGGCGAAGCGCGCGCGCCTGGCGAGTAAGGCTGGGACGCTGGTGGACGACAAGGACGATGGGATCACGACGGGGTGGATCTGCGTCAACGCCGGGATCGTGGAGGAGGCGCCCCAGGCCGATGAGGTGGTGGCGGCGCAGGAGGAGGCCGGGTTCGAGGGGTTCGGGAATGCCGGGTGGGGGACCCGGGTGGTCGTGCAGATCTTTACGGAGGAGAAGCGCGCCGAGGTGGATTTGGAAGGGCTGTGGGAGAAGAATCTCGCCCGTGTCGGACGGCAGCGGGAGAGGGAGAGGGCCGAGCGCGAGGATGGGGAGGAGTGGTTGTAGTGTAGTGTAGTCTAGTATGCCGAGGGGTTTTTTTATGGTCAGGTGTATGAATTACGTGAATGCATTTCTGGGCGGGTATATGTACATTAGATTCCATTCTGTTGGGGGCCTTTCCCGGTGGGTGTTGTGGGAGGGGCTGAAAAATGCAAGCCACATTAGGTTGTACATGAATCTTTTGTATATATAGGATATCTGGATATAACTTTTTGAAGGTGTCTAGTTGAACACCACGGTCTTGTGGCCATTGAGCAGCACGCGGTGCTCGGCAAAGTACTTCACGGCGGTGGCGAGGACGTTGCTCTCGACGTTGGAGCCGGCGTGGGTCAGCTCCTTGGGGCTGAGGGCGTGGTTGACGCGGACGACGTTCTGCTCGATGATGGGGCCCTCGTCGAGGTCGCTGGTGACGAAGTGGGCGGTGGCGCCGACGATCTTGACGCCGCGGTCGTAGGCCTGGTGGTAGGGCTTGGCGCCCTTGAAGCTGGGCAGGAAGCTGTGGTGGATGTTGATGATCTTGCCGGACATGGCGTCGCAGAGCTTGGGCGAGAGCACCTGCATGTAGCGGGCGAGGACGACCAGGTCGATGCTGTGCTCGGCGATGAGCTCGAGGATGCGGCCCTCCTGCTCGGCCTTGGTGGCCGCCGTCACGGGCAGGTGGATGAAGGGGATGTTGTAGGTGGCGGCCAGCGCGGCGAAGTCCGGGTGGTTGGAGACGATCAGGGGGATCTCAATCGCCAGCTGGCCCGTCGACGCCCGGAACAGCAGGTCGTTCAGGCAGTGGCCGATCTTCGACACCATGATCAGCACCCGCGGCTTGGCCGTCGCCGACACCAGCTCGAAGGTCATCGCCAGCTTCTCGGCCGTCGGCGCAAACGCCTCCCGCAGCTGCTCCAGCGTCGGCGCCGGCGTGCTCTCCGGCTTGAAGTGCACGCGCATGAAGAACCGCTCCGACGTCGGGTCGCCGAACTGCGACGAGTCGATGATGTTCAGGTTGTTCTGCACCAGGTAGGCCGTCACCGCGTGGACGATGCCCGGGCGGTCGGGGCAGGAGAGGGTGAGGATGTAGCTCATTTTGGTGGAGGGTGGATGTTGGATCGGGGAAGAGGTTGGGTGGTTGAAGGAGGGAAAAGGGGATTGGCGCGGGGGGGGGGGAGGTTAAAGAATAAGGTTGTGGAGGTTGTTCAAGGTTCCTGACACGATGCAGAATTTAAGCCGCTGGCGAGAGCCACTGCAGGTTTGCCCCGCCGCTTGCGGCGATGAGTCAATCCGGTCTCGCGCTCACTGGCCCGCCGCCCTGGTGATTGATAAGATTAGGGCCTGCGCTCAGGGTTGATCGTCTAGGGTTGTCGCTCAGGGCTGCAGATCATTCTGCACGGCTTTAAAGGCTGAGCTAGCATTACGCCAGGCCGCGGGGAGATTTGGTTTTGATCCTGTGATGCAGGGGTTTGGAGTAGCTCAGTAGCTGCACAATCCACCTCATTAGTCTCTCGCTTTATACTAGTACTTGCTGGTCCCACGGGTCACCTATTTTTCCTCCACGTGATCGACGATATATAATGTGTTCTTCAAAACATGTACCAATGCACGAGGCAATTTTCAGTACATTCCATCACCCACTTAATGATACCTTTTACAGTTTCCCTTTCTATGATGAAAACGTACCTGCAGTTGCTACGCGCATCAGACACACTTTCAAAGCTGGAAGGTATGATGTCTTTGTTCCGTGCCTGAGGCACCAAGGTGTTGCCGGAGCGGGAATCCCGACTCGTCAGTGACTGCTAACCGTCACGGAATTCATATCCCGAGGCTTCATCTTATCCCACTTTTGGTCATGACCCCGCAATTATGGCATTCAAACTTCGTTCATGGTGTTTCGCGCGTCCTCAGTCATGTCTCCGAAAAGCAAGTCACCAAAGCCTGCTCGAAAGCATGTGACGACGGCCTGCAACCCTTGCAGAGAGGGCAAAGTGAAGGTACTCGACAAGCAAAGTACACGAGAGATGCGTCTGCTGATCACAACATGCTGTCTAGTGCGACGGAGTCACTCCCGCTTGCGGGAATTGCGAGGCAAAAGGCAAGAGATGCTCTTATCGCCAAGTTGATGACAGGCGCAAGTAAGCTCCACGTATCGATTCTGCGGTGTCACCGCTCATGAGCTGTTCTCTCTTAGAATCCCGGTACGAGTAAGCTTCGGTATTTTGGCTAAAAGAATAAACCAGCTGGTACTTTACATTGAAGGGCAGGGTTTGGAACTTTCTTGCATGGACGAGAGCGACAGTTTGATGATCCAAAGCATATTTGATGCGCTTGGACCGGAATGTTATGGTCTTACGACTGGGAAGGATACGTCGACTGCAAAGCGGGGCATTGATGACACCAAACCTGGTCAAGATGGTCCGCTCTCTCCAAATGCAATACCACCTCATCAGAAAGCGGTTGCCGCCTCCTCTTCACCGTCCACCGGTGCAGTTCCGCAGGAGCCTCTAGACGCGCAGAGCCTTGTATCCTCAGTAGCACAGCCAGTGCAAGACATCTCGGGGAGAATCTCAGAGGTGCTGAAAGGTGACAACATAGCATGTACGTCCCTACGAAGTCAAAGGGATGAACTGCTGAACACGACGACGATCCCTAGGACGCCAGCTGCCTCGGCATGCTCCTCTGACTCTACCGAACCTAGACGTCGACCTCAGCCCAACCCTCCTCATGATATCGAGGAGGACGAAGAGGATGAGGTTACTAGTCAGCTGTCATGCCGGGTAGGGAGGCTTCAAGTGATGCATGACGGACAGCTCCGGTACTACGGGTCCACTTCCAACCTCAACCTCCTGGATATCCTGGTCGGTGCCGCTCCGCCATGCTCAACAAATGCACAGACAGAGGCACACGAAGTCTTAAAGAGTGCGGAGCTTGATGTCCCAGTCGATGAAACATTCGAACAGCATCTGCTGAAGCTCTACTTCACATGGCAAGATCCCTGTCTCCATGTCGTGGACGAACACGTCTTCTGGAGGTCGAGAGCACAGAATCTGTACGATGACTTGGAAACACCATACTACTCTTACACACTAGTAAATGCTATGTAGGTGTCCACCCTCTATATTCCATACGCTTTGTGCTAATTGACAATCCTGTAGGTGTGCGATCGGAGCTGCGTACGAGCCCCGATACCACCCGAGTCTTGTAACCTTTCCTCGATCGCTCGCTGAGTTCTTTGGTGACCGCGCTAAAGTACTCCTTGAATTGGAACTGGAGAATCCGTCAATCGCCACAGTTCAAGCCTTGGTTATTTTAGGTGGATATGAAGCCTCTTGCACGAGGGATACGCGGGGCTGGCTGTACAGTGGTAAATCTCTGACATCGGCGAATGATAACGAAGCCTAAGAAAATAACTGACCTTGTCAGGCATGGCTATGCATTTGGCGTTTGATCTTGGACTTCATCTGGATATGGCTCCGTACGTGGCCAAGGGCATCATCCCGTTGGAAAATGCCGAGATTCGCCGCCTGACCTTCTGGGGAGCATATATGAGCGAGCAGTACGACCAATCCCTTCCCACCCTAACTCATATCTAACAAGGTATCCAGATTCTGGGGTTGGTACCTCGGTCGTCATACTCGAAACCAATTGTCGGTGATAACAGTCAAGAAGCTGGATGGGTGCAATGATCCAGGAGCCGAAAAGTGGGAGCCATATGGCTCTCCGACCGCCTCGAACAACATACCCGCTTTTCCAAACACATTGGAGAAGCTATCCTACGAATGGATCTCTCTCTATGATCTCCCATTGCCACTGACCGATGTTTTGTAAGATCTAAGGTGATGCCCTGGCATTGATGCCAGTCACTAACACGGGAAGCAGATATGGCAGCTCTTCTATCTCTATACGTGAAATGCAGGAGCTAGCAGCCCACACAGTCGAGAAGCTCAAGTCGTGGAAAGCTGATTTGCCAGCAGAGCTGGACTTTGACGAATCCGAGAGTGGAGTTCAACCTCTTCCGCACGTGCTAGCTCTACAGTGAGTTGGAGCGAGATCTGCAAGCCCATCGCTACTGTGGCATATACTAACGTTCAGACCAGCATGCAGTATTATCAGCTGATGATTCACTGTCACCGTCCGTACATCTCTCACGTTATCCAGCCTCAGCCACCTCAGGGTCCAGGCTCAGGGCATGCACGCATGACATGCATCGAGTCGGCGATATCGATAGCGAAACTGCTCGCCCTCTATGAGCGATACTATAGTTTCCGCCGGGCCAATTATCTCGTTGTATCCTTCGTCTTCTCGGCTGCACTAATACTTATTTTCATCACGGTACCTCTCAAAGGGGATGATGAAGATCAAGAATTGATGCAGCATTTGAACACTTGTTTCCGTGCGCTAGATGAGATGGGCAGTCGCTTTGAGAATGCGAGACGCACGAATATCTTTCTCACAACACTGCAGTGCGAGTGGCAGACTCGTCGGCGAGACACGAAGGTATTTTCAGGAGCCAAGAGGAAGTTGCCGTACTCGTTCGCAACGACTGGTCGTCGGACTATGACGCGAGATGGGAGCCCCCTACGCTCAGCACATGATCAAAGCTGGTCCGCAGCAGCGGCAGGCCGAATGGGAGAACAAGCAGGTGTTGACCTTCAACACTCAATTGATCTTCCTTCCATCGATGATGGCTTGTCTTACTCTCTGGATTTTATGGAGTCCGATTTGTGCAATATCCTTCTCAGCGAGGGCATTCCGAGGGCGTTCGTGTAGCCACCATCATGTGACGCGTCTGATCGGGTTCTGTATTCCTGGCCGTGGGAATACTATCATGAATTGCTCTCAACTCATTCAAGGGCTTCTCACGTTGGAACAAAAGAGCAGCGGGGTTCTTCAAGGTAGTGACATGCTGTGGTTAATGTAAAACCTAGACAAGACACTGAACAAAGCCAAGCCCTCCTGACAGGCAACTGACATAAATACTTACCCCGCGTGTCATACCCCCAACACAGTATCGCCCAAGATCGCGACTACAGACAAACCGCATCGGCCACTCCGATCTTAACAGTGACCTTCGCACACTTATCCTCAATACATAAGAACACACTCTTCAAAAAGACCACAATGCCCCCCCACCGAACCCCCATCGACACCCCAGAACCCATCCCTCCCACCATGAAAACCTACACCTTCGCCCACCCCGGCCCTCCCAGCACCACCCTGCACCTTAACCCAACACACCCCACCCCCACCTTGTCAACAGAAACCTCCCTCCTCATCCGCATCTCCCACATGGCCCTCCATCCCGGCGCAACCCACATGATGCAACTACTCCCCGCATGGACACAACACTTCCCCGCCGTCCCCGAAACAGACTTCTCAGGAATTGTACTATCCACCGGCACACGCGTACCGCTCACCCCGCCGCCACCACCTGATGCGCATCGCTTCTTCCCGCCCGGCACGGCGGTCTTCGGCTCGATTTCCGTGGGCCAGCACCTGAAGAATGGTACCGGCGCGTTGACTGAGTACCTGGTCGTTGAGATGGGGGATGTGGCGCGTAAGCCGGAGGGTGTTTCGGTTGTGGCTGCGGCGGGGTTGGGGGTTTCCGGGGTGACGGCGTTAGCTTTGGTGGATGTGGTGGAGGGGGTTGTGGGCCCCTTGGAGGGTGGGGAGAGGGTGTTGGTTAATGGGGCGTGTGGAGGGGTGGGGCATTTTGTAGCGCAGATGCTGGCTTCGAGGGCTGGGTTGGTGGTTGTGGGGGCTTGTTCGAGGGAGTCGGGGGAGGTTGCGAGGGGAATGGGGTGTGTACAGGTGGTGGATTATCGGGGGCTGGAGGGTAGGATTGATCGTGGGAATGGAGAGGAAGAGGAGGAAGAGGAGGAGCTAGAGGTGTTCCATGCGATTATCGATGCGTATGGGTCGCAGGGTCTGTGGTATGCGGCGGGACGGTGGTTAAAGCCTGATCCGGGGCATGTGTGTGTCTCGGTTGGGCCGGCGTTGGAGGCGTATACCTTTCGCAGTGCGGTGGGGGTGTTGGTGAAGCAGATGTTGAATCGGTTCTTGCCGGTGTGGCTGGGTGGGATAGACAGACAATATCGGCAGGTTACGGCTTGGGTGGATGCGAAGAGGTTGGAGAGACTGAGGGTGTTGGCTGAGGAGGGGGTCTTGAAGACGTAGATTGGCGGTGTTTGGGGGTTTGAGAATGCGATTCAGGTGAGTGGCCCAGACATTCGTGGTGATGGTTGATCTGGCTAATGAGGTTGGCAGGCATATGAGGTCTTGTTAAGCAAGCATGCGAAGGGCAAATTGATCATTCGTGTTCAGAACGAGGAGCTCTCTACGGGAGTTGAGCGGCTTCTGTTTCCATTGTACATTCTTTGATCTCATTGCGAAGACATTTCTCCTTGAGAGAGCTGTTGAATTAGCACAAGTAAGACCAGGACTTGGGGTTGAAGATATTGTTACAGGAAAGAATGTACCAGACTTAGGAAGGGCAAGGGAAGCATGAATGGATGACTGACTTCCTTTCTTTCACGTTCACAAATGATAGCCATCCATCATAACGACTGTTGCAAGAAACAGTCCCATCTACGCACAATGTTACGGAAACCGATCTCCAGGCCTCAGCATCAGCCTATGCAAATAATATGAAGGATTACTATTGCTCCCTGTCACTAAAGAAAAATCTTCCCAACGCACGTGAGGTTGATTCGGCTGTCTAATGGTTCTCTATAGCCTGATGCTGACACGATCGCCGAGCTCTGCATAAACACCTGCAATGCAACAACCCAGAAAAAAAATATAGGGGCATGTCGTACAGAGTACGCATTGGTCAAAATGCTCCTTGGAGGGTTATTTTCGCAACCCTTCAATGCTGAGTGGCTGTTTTCAAAATCTCCACGCGCAAGGTGATGTTGCACGAGAATACGAGGCAGGGATTCGGCGCATGGGCATTCATGCTGCTCAACCATCGATGCTACTACGTCATGACACTATGAGCTTCTTGACATGCGGTTGGAATGCTTACGAGCATTACTTGGAGTCGAAGTCGCCGCGGTTATCCACGACACTCTACGAAGCCCAACACAGCCTCGCCCTAACTCCCTGGGCGTCAGGATTCGAGCCCCTCAGGGTTATCTATGACAAGTTACGTCTGACTCAATGACTTGATGAAGTTGGATTCAGGTCGTCATGGGCAAACAGGAAAATCCTTAGATCAGTAGTGAAGCAATGCTGCCTGCATCTGGCACTGGTGCAAGTTCTCTTTGAGACTCTTGCTGGTTCTTGTTTGTGGCACCGCACACGGCAGTTGGCCCGACTCCGCGGAAGATCGAGATGCCAATTAGACCGGAGAATCATTTATTGTTCTTCAATCGAATAAGCTGGCTGAATATGAATCAGAATATGCAGATCGGCTGTACTTTGCTCCACTGCACATTTCAGTAAGGGTGTGAGTATTCTAATCATCAGATTTAGATTGCAGTCTCGCCCAAAAAAGACTTACAATGCGAGCATGGATACATTATGAATATTGAAATGATCTCATCACGCCTGGTGGACACCCGCAGAGTCTTACCGCGCTCTGGAGGAAGAGCATCATCGTTTTCATGATGATCGAGAACGCGAAGCTGTGCATCCCTGTTGATCTCCTCCAGAACGGCGTCGTATCAAGTAAGAACTAAGCTCAGACCAGAATCCTTCAGACTTGCTTCACGGGTCTACATTGCTTTCGAGGAGGCCAAGCTGTCTACGTCGTGAGGGAATCACTTCACAAAGGAAGCCTAATTTATCCCTGCCAGATGGCAAACTATGGCCCAAGCTGGCAACACCATTCAGCCAGACACATTCTTCGCCCGTGGTTAACTCTATCGCTTCGTATAGCAGGATTTCTCCGCGTGATGGGCAATAACAGATACGTAAACCGTCAGCCTTTTTTTCATCATTGGTCTGGCTTTAGGCCTTCTATTCTCTGCAATGCGAGAATCCGTTCTGTTTGAACTGTCAGGCCCATTCTCCGTCTCGAATGACTGTTCTTGTGGAACAATGAGTGCAATTCTCAAGGCTATTATCGATACGCGAAATGTTATGACAACAACCAGAGGGGCACAATGGAGAGGAGTAAGGTATAAGTAGCGCCATGCTACCCTGGAATCCTCACTCATTAAACAACGCTTACATACCTTCAACTCTACTCATCCTATATCCCCCTCTCTCTCATCACCATCCCGCTTGGACCCAGGCCCATCTCATTCACCCCTCATTTGAAGCTCCTTAGACATCAATATGCAACTCACCCCTTTCACCATTGCCACCCTCCTAAACACCGCAGGCGCAGTCTCAATCTATAAACCCGCCGCCGGCGACCGAGTCGACGTCTCCAAGGACTGGCAAGTCTGCTACAATGCCGTCGAGTAGGTAGCCCCAAATCACCACCAAGCCCTTCAATCCGCCCGGAATTGTCTCCTGATTGAGAAATACTCTCAAGTACCGACCCCCAGCAATTCTGCCTCTACCTCACCAACTTCGTCGAATACCCTCCGCAGATCCTCGATCTGCTGAATCGCCAGCCGGTGCAGCGGGACGCGGGCTGCGTGACCATCCCGGGCAAGTGTTATCCGGGACTACGGACGACAAGGTATGTAACCGCCCCGGGTACTATCCAGACTTTGTTGGGACAATGGGCTCTAACAACGTGGATCAGTCCCTATCGCGTGCGGGCGGCGGAGTGCGCGGATCCGAATACGATCTACGCCGAGTCCGGTGATTTCTGGCCGTCTCAGTCCAAGTGCCAAGCGACGACTCTTACTCGGGTTGTCAGGGAGTAAGCGGATGGGGTAGTCTGGAGGTGGTATTCAACATACCTATGTTCTAGGTTGCCATGTATTTGTCTTTGGATGGTGTTTGGGAAGATGATGGGTTTGACGTGGAGGGAGCGGATCTCAACATCGCCGGTCAAGGGCCACCAGAGGTTGTATTGGTTGGACGTAGGACCTGCTGTATGGATGCAATTATATGGTTTTGAAGTGTACCTGTCGTCCTTGGCTCTTCTTGATCATAAATTTCAGAGCGGAATGCATCGTACCCGTAGTCAGGTTGGGGGGATTACAAAATAGTTCGAGGAAAGTCTAGCAATGGTACTTTTTGTGCATGAGGGCCGTCGAGTTCAGGCCTTTATGCTGCGCGGAGAATTAGTACGTACGTAGGCCTCGGCATGCCAACCCTTACGCTGTAGCTCTGGAATAGCCGCGCGATTGATTTTAGTTATGTCTGGGACACGATCCTTTTCGAGACGTGATTGGTGTAACTCATGCAATAGCAAACCCAGGCTGCTGCAGTCGATGCAGGAAAGGCTGCATGATCATCTACTGTGCATTCCTGCAGCATTAAAACAACCCGTCCGCATGAAAAACCACGCACGACCCATCCGCTTATCCCTGGCTAGACAGCGAATTCTGTCAACAAGTATCCAGTGCATGTAAAAAAACCGACATTCTATTGTTCCTGTCCGAAGATGCAACTATACAGATAAATGCTAGAAACCGACCACAGTGAAGACAAGAAAAGAAAAGAGAACCCCGAGAAGTGCCGGACCGTAATAGGGGCCGCGATTGTGTCGCCGCCCGGCCTGGAATGTGGACCGCCGACCGTAGCTGACCCCCGGGGTGTGATGCAAAGTACCTCGCGTAGACAAATAAAAGTGGTATCCCAAAGTCGAATTTTGCTGAAAGTAACGCGCGCGCGAGATCGATGACTTCGATTGCGTATTCATATGTTGTCCGTGTTTACAAGGAGGTGTTGGGCTCGGCCTCCTCGTCCTCGACTCCCCAATCGCCGATGATCTCGGTGGTGTTACGCTTGCGCATGGTGGAAATGTATTGCGCCTGCAAGTGATTGGGTTCTCAGGTCAGTCCATGCTATTTGACGGAGCAGAGTCTATAGGAATTGACGTACCTCGTAGCTCGTGAACTCGCCGTTGACGCACTTGCCGGGCTGCAGGGCGTATCCCTCACCGGCACACTTGGCGGACTTGTAGGCGGTTAAAACCAAGTCACCCGGAGTGGCCTTGATCGACTTCCACTTGGAGCTGGCGAGAGTGCCGCACGTTGTGACACTGGTGTCGGAGGTGGGATCGCCTGAAGTGTCGCCGTTGCAGTCCTTCGTGGTCCAACCCTTGATCTCGTAGGCTTGGACGGAAAGGCCGAGGGCCAGGGCGACGAGGATAGATTTGAGCTGCATCTTTGGATAATACGGATGAGGATGAGGAGGAGAGGAAAATCGGTCAGTGATAGAATGGGTGGATTGTTGGACGTGAGGATGATGGGGAGTTGAGTATGGCGGAGGGAGGAGAGAGAGCGGGCGGTCGGTCGGTGGTGGACTTGGGTTTCAGGAGAGAAAAGAGGAAAGAACTTCTAGCCTCTCCCAGTTGGTGAGACCAGGCAACAAACAGGCTTCAAGGCTTCAGGGGTGGGTCAGGCACACCCGATTGTATTTGTTGCTATTTGTCCATCCCTTCCGCGCGGCTGGGGCGAACCATTCCTGTTCGGTGAAAGATTGGATTGCAGCGTGCCAAGTTTAGAACCTCTGACGACGACTCGACCACTGCAAGTCAGATTCATTCATGTGTTTCATCTTTCTTGAGAACTGTGCAGTACAGCCAGGCAGCTTCTCCTTGGCAGGAACACTGCTACTACCACATGTATTGACTGTGTTACTGTTACAAGCAATCATCTAGATGTACCTAGTAGTGATTGGTTCGATGGAGTACACAATATTGTGCCCCCTCGCTCCCCCCGACCGAATGGGGCCGATCAATGGAATGTGGCCACTCGAAAACAACGCCACCCCGCGCCCCAGCCTTGACCTGACACCGGGCCGATAGGATGATAAACCAGGTTCCAGAAGCAGTGCATGCTGAGACATTTGCGACGATCAGCCAGACCTCACTCAGCCTTGAACCTTTACTTACGTTCTCGCAGTTGGGCTCCGTCAATTGGAATAATCGGAAGAATAAAATGATGTTCGGTCACGTGAAAAATGACAGTACATACATAGCTGACTAAGTCAGCACATAACGCCTCTTCGCATGAGTTACTTTCTTCCCTCTCAACACCTCCAACCTACGCCCAGATCTGCATTTTTCGATAGGTCTCTTATCGTTCGATTCATGAACAGTCTATCTGCCATCTGCTTTGCACCCGCGAATTTGCCTTTCGCCGATAAATATAAGGGCAAGTACGATGTCATATTGCGAAGCATCCTTCGGAAAACCGACCGACTGCCGCAATCCCTTATCTGATGTTTACAGTCTTGCAACTCTAGGGGACGTTGCAAACCTCAACATAAGCCAATCTTGAACACAATATCGAAATTTCTCAATGCTCTTGCTCTAAGCATGTTATTAGGAGGAAGTTAACATCATCTGGTGTATGGTCTACTAGATATCTCAAGCACCACCATTTCAAGAGATGCCACAATACAGCCATATCGAAAAGCCATTTTGCTTCCTCTTAGCTAATGTCACCTATTCAAAACTCCGACTACTCTTCGGTCCGATGACTATTTTCAGCACCGGCAGGATTTGAAGTTGCGGTAGCAGTCTTCCCCGCCTGGACGTCTTCGTCCCCTCTCTCGACAGGAGTCTCAGAAGTAGCCTCCCCCGCCTCATCTTGCGCATCGAGATGTACATTACGCAGAAAGAACATCACAATCAGCATCGGAGCTAGAGCCGCCAGAGCAGCAATTGCCAAAAGGCGTTGGGATTCTCGATAGCTCCGGTCGATAGCATCACGGGCAGCCGTGCCAGGTTGATATTTCTTCGCCACAACAATAGAGCTGAAGATGGTGTGCGCCTGGGACTTGAGCGCATCGGGAAGGTATTGCTCCAGCTTCTTGGGAAGGGTGCTTCGCCAGATGGCGCCAGCCACACTAATTGATACACTGGTCAGAATACTTCGATCGCACAAATACAGGCGGGACACTTACCTAGTTCCGATGGCTCCTCCTACGCTCATGGAGGCAAAAAATACTGCCGTCACGACGGAGACTTCCTGTCTGGACACGACGGCTTGGACGGAGACCTGAGCTGCGGTCTGGTAGAAGCCACGTCCAATTCCGATCAGCGATTTGGCCGTGACAAAGGCCGCCTCGCTTCCTGTTTTGCCATTGCCCATATCAACGAGGTAAAGAACAATGCCCATACCGAGCACACAGAGGGGAACGCCCCCAAGAACCCAAATTTGCGAGCGACGAGTGTATTTCATGAAAAGCGAGGCGAAGATCCCTGCGACTTGGAAAGCTACTCGCAGAGAGTTGCTGCAGTCATCAACATTAGCATCGGGTTGCATTCGAGAGAGTCATCTGTCAGAGCATACTCAATCCGGGTGGCATTCCCTGCCTCAAAGTGCCCAGCCACTTGCAGGTAGCTGGTGAAGAACACTGTGAAGACGGAGTAGTGGAAAAAGTCCAGGGCGCCCAGCAGGCAAGCAGCGGCCACGGTGCGGTTTCGGATCATCCGGTATGGAACAAATGGCTTCTTCGCGAACCAAGCATCCCACGCCAGAAAGGCAAAAACAAACACCACGCCCATGACAAGCATGGCAATGAAAGAGCCGTTGTGTCGCCATGCACCACTATTGCCCGAACCAGTCAGGGACAGTGGGATCAAGAACAGCGACAGCCCCAACAGAAGTAGCACGGCTCCCGGCAGATCTAGTTGAATCCACAGGAGATCATAGACCCGACGCCACCAAGGATCCTCGCTCTTCCACCCCAAAGCCGTACTGATGCGGACTCGTTGAGGGGCACGGTGCTGGTAAAGCACCATGCTTCCGACCAAGGGTGCTGCAGCAACGGGCAGCACAATGGCCCACATACCCCATCCCCAGCGCCACGTCGAGTGGTCGAGAATGTCTTGCGCAACGATCGTGCCCAGGTATAATGTCGGGATAGTTGTTAAGGAGTCGGGCAGTGTCGACCAGATACCTCGATTGAGCAGATTCGTTACGTCGGCGACGAACACTTGCTGGGTAAGGGCATAACCCGTTGAACCGATGGCTTCGAAGATTCCGGCCGCCTACTCATTGAGAGCAATGGTTAGACACGCTCATCCCTGCTAATGGACGAGAGCATACCATATACTGTGAGATGTTCTTGCAGCATGCATAAATGACATAGCCAAGTACCTGAGCAAAGATTGAGAGGATGAACATCTCAGCTCGACCAAACACCTGGGACCGTTGTCAGTATGAAGATGAAGAAAGTACAAGGCTTTCGTACATCGCCCAGTTTAGCAATGATCGGATATGAAGCAATGCGGGTGATGTTCATGACCACGCGCGCAGCACTCATGGCCGAGTGCTGCTTGAAGGCGCTCGTCGTGTACGCGGTGTAAACCTGAGTGGAATAGTCGGCGAAGTTGACGGCAAAAGTGGCCAGGAACAGGCTACTACAGTCAGCCATGATCAGAAAATCGCAAATTCCGACACCTACCCAACGAAAGCAATGATCAAGCCTGTCTTGGACCAGATCCTCCTCAACTGCTCTGCTCTCTGGACACCAGCCTGGAGGCTCTCTGAGTCCGCCTGAGGGTTCTGCTCATGCTTGGTATGTTCGTCCGATTGCTGAGTTGTGATCTCGGCCATGTTGGTTGAGGCGGGAGCAAATGACTCCCTTGTCTCTTTGGACAAACTCATGGCGCTGCTCATCATGAGTCTGCTTTTCTGCTTGAACGACTGCAGTTCTCGGACCGAAGGAATTTGGCGCAAGAAATAAGAATTTTGACCGCATCCCCAGCGGTGGCGGTTATAAGCATCAGGCGACGCCGAGCTCTTTTTCGTGCATAGGTCCGGCTTCTAGCACTGACTCATGCAGTCATAATTCCTGATGCCTCCACTCGCAACTCGTATAAGTCGTTCGGTTGTGTGCAGCGGCTTCGGCGATCTAATCTAATTTGGCGAAGCCACGCGAAATGTCGGACGACGACCGTGAGAGTTGGTCATTTCGATTCCGCAGACCCCGTTTTCTTGCCTGGACCTTCTCTGACTGGCCTGAGGGAGTTTCAATTCCGGATCAGATAATGAATGCCAAGGGCGCCAAGCGGAGCCAAGACCGTCCGCTGAAGGCAAAACGAAGCATCCGTCGGAAGCAGCGTGGGGGTACACAATCAATCTGCTTCCGATTCGGCACCGAACATTTTCCGTCTAATCTGTGTGTCATAAAGGTATCCTTATGTCTTGCTTGTGACTGTAGCTATAGTTGACGCACCGACAACATGACTCAATGGACATTTACCCAATTTGATAACGGGGGATTCCCGAACGTGGCAGCATGGACTGTTTCCAACGCACAGGGATCATCTTATCAGATCCAGCTTGCGTGGCCCCTGAGCTGGAACACTTTACAGGTCTTGGCCAAGGTAAATCTTGTGTACGTCTGCCAGCACATCTTACGCCGAGGTTGAAAATTTTTGCGACTCACATGAGGTAGTTACCTTGTTGACGGAAACGCCGTCTTCGGAACTGCATTGGATGCTGTTCGTCGCCGTCGGCCTGTTTCACCCGATGAGCCGGGGACTATCGTCGTCGCGATTGGCTATCCCTTGACCGACAGGGTTTATGATCCTCGCCGTACGGTGGACTTGACTCCACCGTGCGAGAGTTATGTTCCCCCCAACGGGCCCGATGGCGAGGCCCATCCTGAACCACATGGCGGGGCAGACCAATTTCTGTCCTTCATCAAAAGGACTGTTGAGCCGTTCATCTTATCTTCGGTTTTCCCTTTCGTCACACCCGTCAAGACTGCCCTGTTTGGCCATTCATACGGGGGCTTGTTCGCGTTGCATGTCTTGTTCACGCGACCGGAGAGTTTTGACACTTTCTTAGTGGCGAGTCCGTCAATCTGGTGGAATGATCGGTTCATATTGACGGAAGAGGGCCGACTCTATGACAGCCCTGCACTTCGACCTCTCCCTAGAGTGCGTCTTTCTTATGGATCTCAGGAACAGTTTCCGGCCCGTCGCCGAGGAGAATCGCAGGATGTGTACGAAAGACGGAAGAAAGGTGCTGCCCAGCGTCGTATGACGGACAATTGCGAAGAGCTGTACCAACGACTGACCTGTAATGGCCGAGTGATGTGTGAGAAGAGGGCGTATATCGATGAAGATCATGGAAGTGTCATTGCACCTGCGTTGAGTGGGGGGATTTTGTTCTTTTTGGATTCAGTGGAAGAATCTCCTCAGCGGCCGATGAGACCTTGATACCACCCGAGCCAATTCAAAGCCAGTCGTATGCGAACCAGCAAGAATTACCGGTGCTGTACAGCTCCGTCAACAAGTCCATGCCTAACGAATCATAAGTCCATTCTGATGAAAGGAGAGCTGATCTGATTGTTGTTGTTTCGGCGTAAGAGAGAGCTCTGAGAACTCATAGTATAATTCCGATATATATCCCCAACATGCTCTTCTGCACACGGCACACACAAGGCACCATGTCCCTACTCGGACTATCTATCATCCTCACAGTTCCGCTATCTGCCCTGTATACAAAGCTGACTACATGGCATGCTTGTCGCCCTTGGAAATGCCGGGGGTGATGACTAATTTCGGCGGCGAAGGCACGGACGGAACTCCGCCCGTCGGCGGGGTTTATTCATCGCTACCTTGGCCATCCCAACTACATCCTCCGTTCAACTAAACGCACAAAAGAACAGGTCTCACCTGAGAACCACACGAATAGATCGGTTATGCAAGCTCTATTGGCACTATATGAGTGCTGAAATTTGATTTTAAGTATCACATTGTTGAATAGAATGGACCCATCACCCTTGGCCCGACGTCGAGACCGTCGGGCTGCCCCCCGCAGCCGGTCCACCACGGCATGCGCTCGCTGCCAAAAACGAAGGATTGGGGTAAGTCCCTGCTGCATGATTGATGGCATTGAGTGCTGGTATTTTCAGCTAACTCAGGCATCAATGGCCTTCAGTGCGATGCGGTGGTTCCTGTCTGTGGCGGTTGCCAACGGGCCCGTGTGGACTGCATCGAGGGTGGAATGTCCGGGACATTTCCCCTAGGTAAGCTAGACTTGCACCGTGGCTACCTAGTGGGGCTGAACTTTGTGTTGACATTTAAATATATTCATGTGGAAGAGCTAGAAACACACATTGAATGGCTGGAGTCAATCATACAGGAGCACCTGCCACATATTGACCTCAGCAAGTTTGATTCTGGTCACCTGAATCATCCTCGGAGCTCTGACTACGGAGTGTCTACAAATTCTGCTACTACCCAGACCCTGTTCCGCAGGCTGCGCATACTAGGGATGGCTGGAACCCAGCTCGTGACGTAACGGATCAACTAGGTCTAGTATCGGTCATTGCTGGGGCAGATCTGCGCTATCTAGGGCCTTCTAGTGGGCTGTTCTTCACGAGGTTTGTGCTGACAGGCATAGAGCGGCGAGCGGAGATAGCATGAGAGTCACCCCCTGCTTCGAAGAACGATCAATTCGTCCCTGCGGAGCTCCTCGATATCCAACCGAAAGATCTGCCATCGGACTTAAAAACAGGGGCAATGGTTGACGCAGGCATATTTTCAGGCGGTCCATTTACAGTTCCCGTCTCTTCATAGACCCACTCACCTGGAACTTCTTCTAGAAGGCTTACAGCGGCGTGGATGTCACACCAATTGATCATTTTCAGATTTTCATGGTTTTGGCTATTGGTGTTACCATTCGATCCCGCCAGGCAAAAGTGCTACTTTCAGCTGAAGGGTACTGCGCCTCTGCAATTCTCCATTTGGATGCCATTTTTCATAAATCTTCTCTGCGCGGTGTCAGTGCATGCTGCCTCTACAAATGTACACGATCAACAACCTAACCTCAGGGATCAGCCTTTGGACCCTTCATTATAACTCTGGCCGCCGTAATGGAGCTCGGACTGCATCGCAACGTTCAAGGCTCTGCCTTCACCGAGTTCGATCAGGAGATGCGCACCCGGGCTTTCTGGTGCGTCTACATGATGGACCGCTACTTGAGCACAATACTCGGCAGGTCGATAGGGTTAAATAGACGAGCAATGCAATTTGAGGGTACCTCACTCGTACTATACATATCTATTAATGAAGAAGGCACTGAACGTTACAGCTACCGCGAGAAATCAACGATGAAGATCTGAAGCCCAATCAAGAGATACCGGCTCTAGCCACTGGAGCTATAACCGATATGTCTAGCGCAATCCATCTCTTCAAGCTTGCGCGGTTTAACGCTGAGATCAAATGTGTGCTATTTTGTGTTGACCGAAATTATCTCCCTTACACGCCCCCTGCTATAACGGACGTCAAGCGATGGCAGGAACATATGCTGAACCGTCTGCGCCAGTGGAAGTCGTCCATCCCGTGCCATCCGCCAGATAGCCCCGCATGCTATCTGAACGACCTGCTAGAAATCAAGTACCACGAGCTCGTGATGCTGGTCGTACGCCCGAGTCTGCTCTTCAATCATCCCTCCAGAAGCCTGATTCGGCAATGCTTCCATTGCGCCTTGGAATGTATTCGCTTTACTATAAGCTGTAGTTGAACAGTATGCTGTAATATAGTTAGATCAATGTATAGTCCTTGTTCCTATGCGTGATGACGATTTTCTATTGCGTCTGGGCGCCGGACGGCGTGGGCGAAGAGACTGACCTCGACACTGTTCTATATGCCTTGAAATCCGCGTCTGCTCATCCTCAGTGCCACCGGGGAGTATTGGCTTGAAGCCAAAAGAGGCCAGGATGTGTTGAGTGGCATCACAAGGGCTACGGTGCGGCGGTTCGCACAGAGTCTTGTGCGGGCGGGGCAATCAGCTATATCACACCCAATGGGCGAGAGCCATCGCAGCCTTGCTGGTGAGGAGCCGATTGGCTCGAATATCTTGGACACTCGAGGGGATGTCACTGGTATCGGAGAGGCCAAAGAGGCCTTATTTGATTCGTATTATGTCCCACTGCAGCAGCCTACTGCCACATCCGAGATCTTATCGTTCTTTGCGGGGCCCCAGTCCGAGACTACTCTGGACTGGTTGAACACTCGTTGGGATACAGCCGGAGGAATGGGAGATATAATGAAGGATTTGGTCTCTGGAGGCTATTAGCCTGATGTCCTAGATGTACGAGACAAACAGGAGATCCGGTCCGTGCTGTGATCGTACACCTAGGATATACTCCGTGCACTACGTGTTCGCAATTCATGTAGGCCTCTGAGCGAGTTACTGTTGATATTTCAAACCCTACAAAGAGCCAGGCTATTATTCTTCCGACCTTTGGCGGGTGACGGTTGATCCAGGAACATCCAGACTTTGAAGTTTCTGCTAGTTTGGCAAGAGATGGGGTATCATTACAACTGAACGAGCTCCATGACAAATAGTAAACAAGCAGTGCTCCGCGAAGCCGTTATGAGAATCGCAGATCCTCTCATTCATTATTCAGCGACTTCAACTGTATTCCTGCGGAAATAAAGTTAGTTCTGTTTCTACTTTATATCTGACTAAGTACGACCTTGTCTTAAGCAAGCAGCCTGAAGGAACTGACTATAAGACTTTCAAGAAGCCTCATGCCTGGGCATAACCTTTTACCTAAGACAAGTGCTGCTCTGGAGTTTCCCCTGCCGTAAGGCATCTGATAGCTGGCTCCGTAGGTCCGTACCCTACAGCGGTGTCTACCCTAGGGCATTGCATCGCCACTCATGGCCGCCTGGCATAAGTTGGCGCTCATATCAATATTCCCATTGTCGATTCTAAACGCACTAGAGTACCTCAGTTGACTTCTGCTTTCAGATAAATATTCGAAGTCAACGATCTCTCTGGTAGATATATCTATGCATTGCCGTGTTGTATACCCTCAGCGTGAGGTCCGGCTGTCATGTGTGAACATGCAATCCTTGTAAAAACTGTTCAAGAGCGGAGTAGCTGGTCTGAGATACCTAGAATCTATCATCAGCCTTATCCAGATTGGGTATAGGGGACGCGTAGCCTCCCTATTTCCCCTAGTGCAGCACAGAGGAAATCAACAAGCACCAGATAGTGGTGGTGCTCGTTAAGCATGTAGACTAAGCTTAAACTAAACATACAGATCATAGCTCAAGAGATGTGGGTACCTTGCTAGCCCACATCTTACTCAATTCCGCCAATCAACTAGCGACGGGCTCAAGGAGGTCGCTGCCTAAGCGGCAACAGCCCCGTCAACAGAGGAGTTTCAGCGGCCAAGAAGATTTTGCTGCAGTATGATTGTGAGGAAGTAAGACGCATGCTATGCGATGTCAAGTCGACGGGATATTGAGATGTTAGGTCATACCTCAGGTTCATGCTGTAACACATAACATATACCACCCTCTTTACATCCTGACACCACCCGCCGGCGCATGGGCCATTTGCAGCGTAATTCCATTTTTTTTCTTTTCTCGGACGAATCCATATTAGGATCTGACCTTCCATCTAATTGAAACATTTCTGGCCTTTTTAGCGACTATAATCAAGCAAGAGTAAGGATATTGATCAATTATTGGCGATTTTGAGAATCTCGAAGTGGGAAACGTTGGTTAGGCGGGGCGGATTTGGCGGCGGTTCGTTGTCCATCACACTAGTCTCCACTATTCCAGACATTCTCGGCCGCAATCCTAGGCTCGTTCAGTGCGGTCTATCCGGCAACAACCGTACGAGCCCTATTTGACTGTACGTATAGTTAACGATATAGTAGATCCAGTACCCACTTCTAGGGATTCGGACGATGTCCGGCTTTGCCAGATCCCTGCCTCCAAGAATGGAAGATAGTCCGCTTAGGCTAGGTTCCATTGAGACAGAAAACGGGATTAATGGGTGCTTCACAAACCACAAGCAAGTGAGCCGGGCATCTCTCATCATAAATCTACATGTTTAGCAGTGCCATGCAAGGATCGACAGTAAGCACATCATTCGATGTGGTGTCTGCCCCATTCACCAACGCACAAACGAGAGAGATGACTTAGTCTTCGTCGCTGGTATAAGCTACGATGATTATGTTCGGGGAGGGCTATTTTCTGCTGGCGAAACACTTGGTCGGGTGAATGGAGTTGGGATCCATGTCCGGAGAGCCATTTTCAATCTCGGTTGTCGGTGATATCCGATAGCTAGTGTAAAGTCGTTGCCGAGGAAGGAGGAAGATAAACACGCAGTACAAAGAAAACCATGACTGGTGGTAACTAGCTGTAGCATAGACTCGACAACAAACAAGCTAGGCTGTCAGTGCTAGTCGTAATCTGTCTGTGCAAGATGACTCGAGAGTCGCGGCGAGAGTCTGACTTTTTTACAGGTGAACTCACTTTAGTTTGCGGGCTCCACAACAGACTGTCTCGCCTCGCAAGCAACCTGATCGAACGATTAGCTTGATTGAGAGTTTTCCTCGGAGCTCGAGGAGTCAGAAGATCGATCACAGGTATAAAAAGGCCGAGGACGCATGTTCCCGGCTTTCACATTTTTTCATTATCTGACAAGAACATATTTCACATCTCTGATTCCTCCTCGGCAAAGTCAGCCAGTGCGTGGTTTTGTGGCATTTCCTTTCGCAAGAGACTGTCTGTTCATACATAAATATCATCGTTTAGTTCTACCATGTACGTCCTCAAGCTTGCCGGTATCATTCTCCTCGCAGCCTCCCGAGCCACAGCATGGGAAGTTCAAGGCTGGACTGGAGTCAAATGTGGGGGCAGCGAAATCTACGCCGAGGCCACGACAGGTACACAAGCCTGTGAGAACTTTGACACTACCCAAGAGCTTCATTCCGTCATGTTCACCTACGCCAAGAAGAATGTCGTGCCTCATCTCTTCTATGAGAAGGATTGCAAGGGAACCGTGTATGAGCCCAAAAGCGGTTATTGCTGGTATGAATCTGCCGACTATATCAAGTCCTACAAGATCGTAGCAGCCAGCTAGAGAACCCCTGTGAGGTTATGGCGGCCGATCCTCGAAACAATGCTACTAAGCAGGTGAGAACAGCATGAAGTTATTTGATCATCGCCTGTATTAATGAGTGATTACAGAGTTTTAAGTGCAAATTGCTGAACTCTCTGCTAAGCCCGCTCTCTCTGTTATGGTACGGATAGTATCTTGAAGACTCTTTTCCTGAAGAAAGGGGATATAAGGTTCATGCTCTAGGCAGAACACGACTGTTGTGGGAGGGGAGCACTGGCTGGAAACACTTGTCTAGAAAAGAGCTCGCGAAGAACGAGAATGAACAAAATTTTCCGGAGGACTTAGACTATATGCTATCAGAACAAGTCTCAGACATACAATCAGAGATGCGAATTGGAAATTATCAAGCCGCCCCTGAGTAAAATGGTATACTCACCTGGAACACAGAACGAGGCGTAGTGGTTCTCTACATGATCTATAGGCATGTAATCTTTCCATTTGCACATCTGTCACTCAAAGACTCAATTAGAAATATCACTTCTAAGGAAGGTATCATGATCGGGCGCTGTGTGTCAGGTCCCGAAGAGAGAAGGCCTATAGTTACTCAAACGGTGCCATTGAAGAGGGCTAATCTACAAAAGATTATTAATTGACAACCCACCTCTTGTAAGCCTGGATACAAGCTCTTTGACCATGGTTCGTCATCACTTCAAGGCGAATAACATGGTAATTGCAGTGGAAAACAAGGGACACCAAATCCAGTGGCTTACGATGCAGATATGACAGTTATGACATTCTGGCACCGGATTCTCTACCGGTAGAGAAAGATAATAAAGAGACAAGAGGCCGATTATTCATTGTTTTTGCTCTTTTGGCCACGAACAAATCTCATGATAGCTGGGCTAGTCAGGACCCTACTGTATAGACTTAGAGACTAGGCATTCTCGGTAACCACATAGGAAGCTAAGACATCGAGCTTACGTATGCTTTATACTCTGTACCGGGGAACTCCAAAGGGATTTCCGAGAAGCTAAGCTGCCTCTAGTCTCAAGCTGGGGCCGATCCGGTCTTCTTTAGCGCGATTTTAGAGTTCGGGTATCCAAGCTTGTCGACGGCCCTGAGGTCAGGTCGCTCACCACCAAGCTCAGTGGTTCTTAGCTAGATACTCAGATAGCCTCGTGTAGTCTTAATTCATCAGGTACCTCCACGTCCTGGACAAAGCTAATATAGAGGAGGAGCTTAGGCATACCAGCTTCGAGGGGGCCAGAAAAGTAAAAACATGTGATTATAGAAACTATCAGAATTATTATTGAAATTTTTGCTAATGCCAATGCTTTTAGTTTTAGGACAACTATCTCGGAGTCGATACAAACCTCGACTACTAGTCAACAAGACAACCAAGGGTAGTTTCCAATATTTAATCCATAGATGAATGTTTAGCCTTGAAAAATCCTGACATTCCTAATATAACAAGGAATTTAGAGATTGACCTTGATACTTACATAATCGGAATATAAACAGCTTTGATGTGGTCAGAAAAGGCTTCCGGGGGTCAAGAAGTAATCTAAATCTATTCTAAAAAATGCAGTGGTTCTCATAACTCAGAGATGGGCGGGCGATAAGGAACGATATCCTAAATCTTTGGTTGGCAACTCGCGTAAACCGCCTCGGATCACGTTGCTGGCCTCCGGGGCGCCAGGCGGGTAATAGAAAGACATAGGTTTTTCTGACCTTCTTATACTAAAAGAGAACTTAGATTGCATTGAATGAAATTCAAACAATTTGTCACAGTTGAACGAACCATATGCACTTTTGTTCTTCGGCTTGGTCCCCGTGGTACGAGGCTGTTGTCTATGAGGAGCAAATGTGATAAAAGAAGTTCCGCTGATGGATGACCCCTTAATGCTCATTGACAAGCACGTACCGATACCGGGCCTTGCCAGCTTCCATATCCTGAGTGGCCTGGTTGGCCTCCTTCATCGGCACCTCCTCGACCCACGATCGCACGTTCTTGCTCGCAGCGAGCTCCAGCATCTCTCGGATCTCCCCCGGCCCCGCCATCAGTGAGCCCCCGACTTTCAACCGGCGGAAGACCAGAGCTTCCGCGGGTATGGCCAGGGTGCCGTCCTCGGGCACACCGAGCTGATGGAAGCAGCCGTCTGTTTTCAGGAGAGAGAGGTAATCGCGAAGAGGCATCTACCACTTGATTA